AAAACAATATCATTATACGAAGTTATTAATTCTAAATCTTCCATTAGGTTAAAATTCAATTCAGATCTTTCGTTTAGACGATTAGTGAACACATAAAAGCAATTTATAGAAATATTGATTTTGTACGTGTGTACAATATGTACGACACATTATCGAACACAATGTACTATTTATGTATCGGTATGCCATCTCTAGATAATCAAGTTTTTTTTGGCTGTTTATAGTAGCTTCTTCGGTCAATAAAATTGGATATAATTCGTACTTCGCTGATAGTCCAAAAAATTTATTATATTTCATCCAGGATGTAGCCCATGATAACTCAAATAATGTGCAATTAGTCTTAGACCACTTCAAATTGATTCTTTGTTTAACATAAAAAAATATTTCGTAAAAGGGGGGAGGGTTATGTTAAACATAGAATCAACTTGGAGCGGCCTTATGTATAAAGCTGTTATATGTAATAGAATTCTAATTGTCATTTAGTTTAGTCGTCTCATATAATTTAGCAACATCGACTCGGGAAAATACAATTTAAATTATGTTCGTATTCTGCTAAAATAATTAAATTTATTAGCTCTTTACAGCTACTGTATTTTCATTATTTCTGGGACAACTAAAAAAATTACGATAGCCGAATCAATAAATTATCAACCCAGAATTGATAAGTTATCAGTATCAGAAACTTATCGATTTGGTTATGGGCAACTTTTCAGTTGATCTAGAATAATGAAAATATTTGTAAGTTGTCGAATAGTGATGCGGGTGAATTTTCCAATGAATTACAAGCTAGGTTAATAATTAACCCCGTTTTAAAATTTTTTCGAAGCTTCATTATGATGAATTCATTTGAGAATATTAGCATTCAAAAACAACTAAATTAAATTCTTTATATTCACTTCTTGAAATAACTAGATATTTACATTGTATATAGTGTGCTTTTATACATATAAACTGTTATGCTATATAAATTAATAATTTATTATTTGAGTGCTACTAGGACACCGAGCTTTAAATTTTATAATTTACCAGAAATTAGCCTCAAAATAGTTCTAACGAAAAGCATAGATGAACTACCACTATTTATATTAAAATTTCTCAAATATAAAATTTATTACAAACATATTATCTAATTACTGTAAATTTTGTTTAAATAGACATTGTCTATTAACAACTGAATTAAATAAGCATCAAACAAATAAACATTAAACTAATAAATTATTAGACAACTAAAACAAACAATATTTTTGATTAAACTATGTATATTCACATCCTTGATAAAGGCCTTTTGATAACTGATAATTTAATTGTGATCCTGAAATAAAATTTGCAAAGAATCATAATTAAAACATCTAAACTTTATTTACACTAGAAATTATTAACCGACAAAAAAATATAATTATACAAATTTATGAAACTAAGCTGAAATTCATCACCAAATCGAAAGAATTCGGTCCTGAAATTTAAATTTAGTTACCAAGTTATATATTAATCAATCAATGCTAAACCCCAAAATTTTTGGACCTCTGATTTATATCAATAAAGAGTCTAACGCATCTTATCAAACATTAGAAATGATATATAATAGTGTATCCTAAGTTGGGGTATTGATTAGCATAGTCAAAAATCATTATCACACATTAGTAGTCAAAATTTTAGATTTTAAATTTGCCGCAATAATCAAGTGCACTAGTAATTTTTGTGCTTTATTTTGCTAACCAATCATATTTCATTACTTAGCTACTTACTATTTGGGTAGGTTGCATTTTAACCCACTTGGATTCTACTGGAGTGGCTCGAAAACCCACCTATTGAATGATCTGAATGACATTTTTTAGACGCATTTGATCACTATATCAAGGCCAGGTTATTTATTAGTCAAATCGTAACATAATCGCTTCTCTAAAGTAGGTATCAATCAAACATGAATAAAAGAACTGTGTAGTCCTGATATTCTCCGAGAATATTAGCATCAACAAGGTTATAAATCATGTTAAAAGTATGTCATATTTAGCCTGTCTGATAACAAAGTATTTTAAATTAGCTTTGTGAAAAATAAAGTTCTTCCATATCCAAGTTTGTTTCAATTTGAGTAAACAATTTCCTATTAAGTAGAAATGTCAAATCAGAGCAAGGTATTTATACTAAGAAATCAAATACATACTTTTAAACAAATTTTTAGATGAATATTATATCGACTTATTTTTTGGAACTGCTTTATTAAAACAAATCGTAATATTTCACTTGATACCCCAATTTTCAAAGGGATAATATTCGTGATCAGACAGAATGAGCTATATGATTTAATACAAGCAACTTAGTAATATATAAAAGAATGTTAAATTATGACACTCTGTATCGCAAAGTTGCAGTTTCAAGCCTTCATTTGCAACAAATACGTATAATTATGAATGAGCCTCATTTGTCTAATCCTTCACAAAATCTTGGAGTATTCTAAGAAATTTTTGTGATTTCCTTAGCGATGCAGTCTACTTAATCAAGAACTAAAGCTATTTGGCACTTGTGTTTCTCTAAATAGTAATTATGCCAAGTTGAGAAGTTGTATGCTTAAGAGATACTGATGAGGACATTTTGAATGGTCATCTTTTCTATGTGCTGGGTGAGCTTAAATATGAAGTAGTACTTTTCTTGTTGCATTTGTTATCTACTGCATGATAATATCTCAAAGCTTAAATGGGTATAATCCACGATCCAGACAGTTTGCTAATTCTTTTAAAAATGATTTAAATGGCAACATCTTATCAAGAAGAAATAAAATATTGAATAATTTACTTTTAGCTCTTTGAGTTTTAAAATGATATTTTAAACTAATGTTGTCTTTCAATACCACGTATTCCCACAATTAGAATATCATGAAGAGAGTGCAAATTTTCAACAAAATTTTTGTGTATAATTAGTTTTTCCAGGATAGGTATATCAGCTCTCTGGTTGACCTTTCCCTTCTCGAAATATTTTTTATTTTCCTGGATAAAGTTAAGCCACAATACCAATGCTAGCGGCAAATAAAATTTATTTCTGACTGATTAGAAGAAAAAATGATCAAAATGACTGATAAAGGTTCAGTAACATATGTACTTTTTTGGTTGGGTCTCAACTATAGTTGTTAGACAAAACCTTTTTCACGTGGTGACGAAAGACGAAACCCCAAATTTTTCTGACGAAAGACGAAACTCTAAACTTAAATTGACAAAATCCTATAATAAAAAAGACGAAACTATAAAGTTATTTACAAATTACTATCATCCATTAGTGCTGTTCATATAATTTATTTGATTCTGTTGTTAAGTAGGCACATTAAACTAAACCGTTTATGCAATATCAGTTAATTATTATCGACGAACTTCAAAAGCAAGCACTTTGGTCAAGTATTTGTGAATAGAGATTCAGAACAGGAGAGTAAGCATTTTTTTAATCGATTTTGGAATTAATTCTAAACACTATACTAATCTAATTTTGGTTTATTCGTGTTAATTTTAATTGAGTAAAGATCTTGATCGACCGTTTAAATAAGCTATTTAAGTTCATAAATATTTCATACACGGCCTCTTGTTTTCTTACGTTGATTTAGTTGATATGTACAAAGTAGAGGTGCAGTAGAAGTTATTACATATTATTCCGTAATTAGTTTCGATATAAGCTATAATACTTTAATATTTAAAGTAATTATTTGCAATGATTTAGTTAATTATGTATAAAGATCTTTTTAACCAATGCATTAAAGTTCATAAATTCATATATAATTAATTTGCATATTAAAAGTAAGCCATTTTAGTGGTATATAAAATATTTTTAATATTCTATGAATTTAGGATAAACCGTTCAAATTTATGAATATTTGTTATACTTTTTATTTATGTTTAAATTTACATGTTATTCACTGTAATTAAAAAAATAAGTTATTTTCATTGAATAAAAATTCATAATTTATCCAGAGAGCAGTATCTGAAATTACATGTAAGCCAGCAAATAATCCAGTTCATTTTTTCCGGGCAACGCTAGGGTTATTATAGACCGGTTGAAATAACCTTGTCAAAAAGTTATAATGCTCATGGAATAACACAAATACCGTATTCCTCCGAAAATAAGCACCCCCCGACTAAATATCAAGTCATTCAAATTATTAGTTGAGATTATACCCGAAAATAAGCAACCTTATAGCAAAAAAGGGTGCTTATTTTCGGAGGAATACGGTAATGAATTCAAATATACTGGCACAAATAAATTTGTAAGGACCATAAAGTAGAACTGATTTGTAGTGTAGTAATAATACAATATAAAATATTCATTTCTAATACCCTTTAACAATTCAAGTTATACAATAAAATTTATTCAATGAGTTTCAACAACACTTATCTGTATCATCTCTTATTTTTTGTCACCCTTTGCAGTTTTGTCAGTTTCGTCATTTAAGATTTTAATTGACAAATCTTTGATCGACTAACTAGGATGTGGCTTACAATTTATGAGTGATTTTAAATCACATATTTGTCCGTGAGGGTAAAAGATTCAATATTATCAACCGAATAAACTTTGTCATGGCAATGCATTGCATAAGCGTTAAATTTTTTTTTCTACTGAAATAACGGTCTAGATAAGAAATGAGGCCAATATTCAAAGAAAAAAAAAATACTTATAATAAAAAATACTTATTTCACTATTGATATTTTTTCTAATTAAAACCTTTTGTAATTAAATAGTCAAAATTAAATAGTCAAATTAAATATTTTGTTGAAACATATTTATTTCTATATTTGATTGGTTGAATTTATGAAACTAATATTGTTATCATAAATTGTATCTTGAAAAGCTTTTCCTCCTTCAAACCCAAGGCCATTTAATTATATACTCTAGGTTATTATTCGTGTATATACACACGTATAGACAATATTTTATACTGTAAAATTAATTCACCTTTGAGGATTTTGTCCAGATTATTCATGCTTTTTTATTATCGCGTCTCTGACAATATTTCTTCCACTTGTCTAATGAGTTTCCAAATCCACGTGTTTTGCTTCGAGAGTAGCGTGTTTTACTTCAAGGTCCCCATGACTAGCTTTTAGATCCGCATGACTTGTTTTACTTTACTTCGGGATCTGTGCCTGGTCTGTCGAAATTTTAACTTCAGACAAGTTAGATAAACTAACCAAGTGAGTTACCAGACCATCTTTTATTTTTTTACAGAGCTGCTCTGATTGGATAAAATTTAGAACTCGCATTTCGCACTATGAATTTTTAACAAGCCTTCTTCGATTGACTTCATTAACCACACAATAAATCGCGATTATTTGAGCAGTATCTATTACATTGAGAAGTTGCTTGAGAACACCTTAAAACTCACTGATCGGCCAAACAATCGTTTGGTCAGTTTTTGTTTTTACCTGACGTCTAAAATTTATGAAAACAGCTGTAAATGCGGTTGCAATCCAAAATACCGACCGACCGAAACTTTTGAACCAAAACTAATAAACCACCAAAATCCTATATAAATGTCGGGCAAATCACTTGGTTTAACAGAAAACGAAGATATATAATACATTTTGGAATTTTTCTAGAAGAGTTAGCTAAACATTGCGAAATCTATTAATCAATCAAAATAACTCTTTGGAGAGTATCAAATAAAGGAAGATGTTACATTTTTCAAAAAAAAAAATATTAATTTTCTTGTTTAATGAGAAGATTTTTATACTATTTCGCTGTACATAAATATTGTTCGTTTTTTATATTTGCATTACAAAGAAATTTCTCACGTGGATGTTAAAGTTTCTGTCACATTTATTTTGCTAACCATGAATTCTATGAGGTCTCTCAGTTACGGTTCAGCATCATGAGACGTAGATATTAATTATAGTTGAATAGAAAGTGAATAGAAAGTCATTGTGTTACATTACTGTAACATATTTATTTCCTACACTATGAGTGTGCATTTAGAGAGAGGTCTCATTGTATTACTTGAATAAAATAAACCTATGAGATATTACAATATATAATTTTTTCTATTTATCCACTAAATTTACTCGAACATAATGAACTTAAAATGAGGTACAATACTTAATAGATATTGGATCATGCGATGATAAATATCATAAAATTTGGTCTGTCAGAGCAAATGATTGGCTGAACAAATTTTATGATATTTATCATCGCATGACCAATATCTTATACTTATTATTATTATTATTATCAGTTATTAGAGTGAAATTCTTAAATATATCACGAAATAAATCCAATTCAATATACCGGCATATTGAAGACAAAAAACAAACTACACCTCGCATTCGGTAGGGACTACGTTATTCAAAATATATAAGCTGTGTATATGCATATTAATATTGTTAATAATAAATGCTAAATAAGGTTATTGATAAGAAGTTTATTTACAGTACGTAATGGAATTATCAAAATTCAAATTCAGTATATCTCAGTTATGAATAAAATTGTGAGCAACTTTGAAAGCTCGTACAGGGCAAAGGTTGAAGGCTTTGCTATCATTATTATTTTTTCAAACTATCGACGATCAGTTGATTTGTTCATTAAGATTCTACGTAATGATAATGATAACAACTCATACTGTATGCATATACTGTACATAAGAAATTTCGTTAATTCAAAAACTCTAAACTATAATTCACATGCATACAATCTATTATTAGTTCAGACATCCTCCGTTTTACTAATTATAGGTTACAAGTTTTTTAATCTCAGTAAGGAGTGCCTTTAGCATAAGTAATAAAATGGGTGGATTAGTCATTACGAGAGACATATCACTACGCTTTTTTTTTGATCCGATATGGCGAGAGGGGGGAAATTTTGCGAAGCGGGAAATGATGAGTACTAAAAAATTTTTTTTTGTGGGTCCGATTTTAAATAGAAATTTTTAATTAAAAATTTTTTAATTGAACCGGGTTTGTGGATCTAAGAACTAACATTTTTTTACCAATTACATATTAAACATAAACATATTACATAATTAATGTTCAAATATTTGATGGATTTTAATTATATGTGTATTAAAAAATGGGTATAAACTTTTACCACCCCAACCATATACAGTATATGAATTATTAAACTAATAAAGGATATCACCATAAAATTTAATCAATCTTGTTTTATCAATTACTTATACGTATCTATCACGATCAGGCTTAAAAGTATTTTGATTAGTAAAGCAAATTTGATCGGTGGACGTACCAGCAAATCATCCGATTAAAAGATATTGTGGCTGAAAATTGGCGGAGTTGTGCGCATTTTTTAACATTAACGTTAAGGTTGCTTTAGATTTTGGAAGTGAAATTTTTAAATTTATATTTTCAGCTTTAGCTATTATAAACGTTATATAAATATTTTTAAGCTATATATCATGATCTTTAAAAATAAGTCCTACAGTAAATCTATAGTTATGACAAACTCGTGACACGAATTAAAAAAAATTAATTAGATAAACGTTCGTTGATCACCGCTGATTAAAATTAAAATATTAAAAATAGCAACAAATAAATTAATAATTTAAATTAATAATAAATCAAACAGTGTAGTTAGTCATTTTTGATCAGATCAAGTCTTAACAGATTTATCAGTTCATTTATTGTTATATTATTGTTATCTTTAGCCTATTTACTAGTCTATAATGGAATTATAGCATAAAAAGGTTTCATCTTTTTTTTCTATAAGTTAAACTTCCTTATGATAATATAGCTACTTTGTACCAATTGAGGTAAACAAAACTTTACCCATTGTCTGATTTCCAAAAATTAGTTTTTTGTCTGGTCAAAAGAAGGGTTAAATTTACGGTATTTGTCAAAATAATAAGTCACTGACGTTCTAAAATAGGAACAAATCCTTAATATGATTGGCCTAAATTGTTTTGTGCGAAACGCCATAAACACTTTTTGTTACATTTGGTAAGTAAGCTATTCATGTGATGATACAAAGTTTATGCACAAATCATACTTACCTTTGCTTATCAGACGGTTACCAACTACCTAATACGTATACCTTTTTGTACGCAGTTTATGCCACTGCTTCCTAAAAAAAAAAACTGATACAACGACATCTTTATTAAAAAATTTATATTATCTGCTTTTTTCTTTCCTTTAATCATTTAATTTTATTTATTTGCTTTTTTTTCTTTTTGGTTGTATATTTTATTATTTTTTTGTATATCGTGTGTTTAAATCTTCGGTTACAAAAGGTTAATCTCTGTTGGAAAAAAAAAAAAATAAAAAAAAAATAAGAGTAGAAGAGTAGGTTATTTTATTTATTATTTTTTTTTTAATCTTAATTACCTTTCTTTTGTGTGAAATTCTCTTTTAAAGAAAAGTAACATAATAATTTGTAAAAAAAGAAAAGTTAGGTAGTTTGTTATAAATAAACAAACTTACAATACAGTATTACTACCAAAAGAAGAGTCAGCAAAATTATTTAAAATCTAAATCTAACCTTCTAACCATGAAGTGTTAGATTTTTGCATTATTATCCTTGCTATAAGCATAGGCGCATTAATTTTACCATTGACTGGTCTATCCTATTACCTATACGTTCATTTATTATTATATTCCCCATTTTTGTATTTATTTTCTTTTTCTTAAACCTCAATATAACCAATCTAAAACAAACAGAACAAAATGGCAGATAATATAGACAATAACGATTATCTATCCGTAACTCCGAGCCTTAGAGTAAATAACTCCGAAGGTCGTGGCTCAGACGCTGACATAACGGTACCGACTCCTCCGATATCGTCTCCTCCAATATCGTCTCCTCCGACACCGCGACGATCTTTATACATTAGCAATCTTAGCAATGCACAAAATATTCAGTCATCTGCTGCTTTAAAAAAACAACTACAAGATCAACTAAAAGAATATAGTGATCAATTAAAGTTGACTGATGAATTAAGTGCTGCTCTTAAAAAACAACAATTAGAAATAGACAATCAAATAAAAGCACTAGATAAAACTGAAGGTGATGAAGTCCCTCAAGAAATAAGATCTAAATTAGCTGACCTTGAAAAGGAGCTTACAGATATAAATACAAAATCTACAAAGGTTTTATTGCGATCAAACATATCTGCTGCGGTAAGTTTTTTTATTACCATATTTTTCGATTCAAAAAAATTGTAAAATTAATTTCAAATGATTAAATAATAAAAGAATCGAGAATATATTAAACTTTATTTATTTATAAGTTTATAAAGTTCATTAAATTTATTAAATTATTTTCTTTCTTTTATATTTATTAGGCAAAATTAGAATCACCAACTTCTTCAACTCCAACAACCCCTGCTACAGAAGTACCTTCAACAGTTACAGGAAAATCTTCCTCAAGACGTGATCGAAACGCTGCAAAAGGTCGGCAAAAAGATATAGAGTTTGCTACTGAAATAGGTCAAGGTTTATTACAAGAAGTTAGGCGTCTACAAGCTTTATTACAAGAAAAAGAGGAGAAAATAAAAGAACTTGAAGCTGAAAAAGCTGAATTAGAACGTAATATTGAACAACTTAATAAAACACTACGTGCAAAAGAAGATTCTGAAGGTATAATAATTTTATTAATTTTAATAATTATAATAATTAAAATATATATTTATGTATATATTTAATATAATATACTTTTAATATATTTTTAATAACAATTTATAAATTTTTTTTATTTTATTTATCTTTTATTAGATCGTCTAAATAAATATGTTGAAACCCTTGAATTAACTAGGCAAGAACTTAGTAATCAATTAGAAGATTTACAACAACAACTCAGTAGAGCTCGTAGTGATTACACAAAGATTGAGAAAGCTCTCGCAACTGCAACTGATGTTATAGAACAACTTAAAGATAAAGAAGAAAAATTAACTGCAAGTCTTGAAAATTTAAAAATTAGACATGAAAAAGATATGCAAAATAATAGGAGGCATATTGCTGCTCTTAATAGAGAAAAATCTGATTTAACTCAAACTATTGATGATTTAAAATCTCAATTAGATACTTTTTTAAATGCTTCAAAAATTAAGAAAAGTACTAAAGAAATGGCTACTGGTTCAAATAATAATTTATCTTATGGTGAAGATGGTCAAGTTATTAGTGGTGACGATATTGATTCAGCTTTTCCTCAAGATTTAATTAATAAAAATTTAAATGCAAAAGATACTATGAAAGCTCTTGGTGTTGCTAATCGTATGATTGGTAACCTTCGTGCTAATCTTCAAAAAGAGAAGAGTGAAAAATATGAATTAAAAAAATTATTAATTGATAGTCAAGAACAAATTGAAGCTATGCAAGCTGAAATTTATGATGTTACCGCTAATCCTAATCAATTTAAAAGAAGACAAATTAATAATTTACCTGGTGAACTTTCTGATGTATCTGAAAGTGATGCTGTTTCTACTAATAGTGAAAAAATAAATAAGAATAATCGTCCTTCATCTGATTGGTTCACTTCTGATAAATCTAAAAGGAGATTAATGTCTGAACGTTCTCGATCATCATTATTATCAAGAGAATCTGCTGATGTTGATATTATTCCTGGTGAGGATGAAGATGATGAAACTAAAGAAATTGTAGAAGCAAGAAGAGCTGAAGCATTAAGAAAATTAGGTGATAATAATAATGTTCTATCTCGAGAAATAGTGGGTGAACCAGGAACTCTTGATGATGATACATATGAAAATTCCGATAAAAATTCTGATATAAGGCATAAAGATTCGGTCGTCCGTAGACGTGTCACTGAATATGAAGATATTAATAAACAAATTGCTGATGATGAAAACGTTACTCGTAGAGGTAACTCTCAAAGTGAACCTAGATCTCCTAATGATAATAAAAGACGTACTGATAGTGAAAGTTCTTATATAGAAGATATATCTCCTAATGATGATAAAAGACGTACCGATAGTGGAAATTCACATATAGAAGGTTAGTATTAAAAATTTAAAGATGATGAATATCAATAGGTTGACTCTATAAAAAAGAGGATTAAACTAAGATGTTATTTCATCTAAAATAGATTCTTCTCCGGCCACTCGATCGATTTCAGGAGAAATTACCATACCTAAGAATATTTCAGGAAAGGAGTTCAGAAATATTGGTGTACAAACGGACTCAGGTGAACGAAGTGATTCGATGACCACATTTGGAAATAACAGAGATACAGCGATCTTTGATAATAATTCACAAGATTCAAAGATTGATCCAACTAGTCAATCAAATTTGTCTGTACCTGATAATAATAATGAGAATAAACGATTTACACTTGATTTATCAAATAATCAACAATCTCGACCACGCGGTATTCTTCAAAATTCATCTAAACCACAGTCACCAGTTCAAAGTTTAGATCCACCTCCACGACCTATAAATGGACCATCAGCTTCATTAATACAACGTTCAGCATCCGTAAATTTTGGTCAACAAGCGGGAACATCAAAAGTTCAACAATCCCTTAATGGAGCGCATAAAAGTTCAGCGGATTCACAAGATGGTATACTATCAAGTAAACCTAAAACAAGGGATATTAATAACTTAAGCGTTGGTGAACCTACATCAACACTTCATAATCATTCGTCCAGTTCAGGTTCGATTTCAACATCGAGTAGCGCTTCGATAACGGCAGAACAAGCTAATAAATCTGCTGAACATAATGGATCATTGGTCGGACCATCCGGCACAGACCCAACTGTTATTCATGCAATCACTCAAACTATGATTGGTGAATATTTATGGAAATATACTCGACGTAATTTCGGAGTTGATAAACGACATAAAAGATTCTTTTGGGTTCATCCATATACCAAAACATTATACTGGAGTAATAAAGATCCCAGTAACCATGAACCAGTTGATCCAAAATCAAAGAGTGGAACATCATATTTTGGTAAGTCATTAAATACTTTCTTTTTTGAATGTTTTATACGACCAATTGTATAACAATGAATCGATTTATTAATATTTTAAATATATATTTATTATTATTCCCGTTAATGTTATATTGATAAAATAGCATATATAGAGTCTGTACGACAAGTTGTTGATCATAATCCTTCGCCACCTGGTTTACATCATATGAGTTTGATTATCAAGACTCCAGAACGAGAATTGAAAATTACTGCACGTTCCAAAGAACGACATGAATACTGGTACCAGGTTTGTTCACCTTCCAACACAGAGTCATTAAAATCATTTTTATATATATTTATATATATATTATATACAAAAAAAAAAAAATTTTTTTTTTATCACATTTAGGCTCTAACTTATTTACTTCAACAACGATCGGATGATGCAGACAAAGTTAATCAAGGTCAAGTTGGTCAAGGTCAAGGTCAAACACCTGGACGACCGGGAAGAGTAGCATCGGATCCTTGGGATAAACAACCAACTCGTAACTTGTTTGATAGTACATCACCAACAGGATCTTTAAAAGATGGTAACCTTAAGAAAAAGTCTAGTTTTAATAAAATTCAATCAATGTTTCGACGTAATGAATCACCTCTTTCGTCCGAATATATTGATGGCCAATCGCAACAACTTGCGGTACCAGGAACATCACAAAATGGATTTGATGATGATTTTGATGACGATGATGACTATGATTTGGAAAATGTAAGGCAATGCTGTGACGGCCGTCATGATGTTAGCAAACTTGAACGGGCTGGTACTCACAAAGGGCACCATCATAATAACCGTATTATTGGGCATTCCTAATTATTTTTAAAGCATATAATTACTTTTAATGTTTTGTATTATTATTTTTTTTAAGAATGGTGTTTTTTTTTTGGTTTTTTTTTTTTTTTTAAGATTTTTGATTAGCAAATTTTGATTTTAAAAATTGATTCAAAAAAAAAGTTTAGATATACGTAAGAAATATTATTATTGATTATTATTACTATATGATACTATCATTTTTATATCGTTATTATTATTATATATTTTTTTTATTATTATCAGTTTTTCACCTAACCATTGGTTTGTATACTATAATATTATTACTACAAAGGAGGAAAAAAAAAAAAAAAAAAAAAGAAAATACTTTATTTGGTGGGCTATATATTTTTTAAACATTAAAAGTTATTAATATATGCTAATTAGCAATTATAGAAAATTATCATTTTTATACGTAATAATATATATAAATTTATATTCAATCAATAACTTTTTTGTATAATATAAATGTAATCGAATGTGATGCTAAGCCAACAGCATTTTTAAACTGGGATCAAACAAACTCATATTTTTGTCCGTATTACAAATGACTCGGTAACTGTGCACCATTTATCCGTGTAAGAATTATTAAAAATGCCATTTGGGATTTCACTTTCATGTTAAAAATGTTTACTCAGATCAGATTTCACCGAGTAATTCCTGAGTCAATGTAACAACGGTGTGAATTTCAAGCATTTCAAAAAAACAATACATATTATGTAGACGTACCAAAAATAAATTTTAATTTAGTGACAATGTTATAATATTGAATGGTTCGTTTTAAAATAATTTAATACTGTAATATTTAGTGTTTAGGTCCCTAAAACTTTGATTATCTTGCATTGATGAAATTGATTAAAAAATCTGATTACAGTCGAATTTTTAAGAACAATACACGTATTACAGTATTATTTGTAAATGAAACATCTAATTATGAAAATTGGTACGATAAAATTTTATAATTATTAATATATAGTTTATTTTTTTTCGGTAATTAGATTAGGCGCCTTAAATCCGAAAATGTAAATTGCGGGAAAAAGCTTAGACAAAACAAATAATTAGCAAATAATAGCAAACAATAATATATATTTCTTTTTTAACATTAAAGTATATGACCCGATTCTCATTTATGTCTAATTAGGAAATTAATTACACATTTTTTTGATGTTTTTTAACATTTCGGCATTTGGTGGGAATATTTTTTTGTTTAATACAACATTCATTAATTTCTTATTGTTCTCGGACCCATACAAACAATCTTACCTATATATGTTAATTAAGTACCGGTAACATGGCTTTGCTTTGACATCTTTTATAATTATATTTCCAAACATTACGATGTTTTTTATTTGCTCGAATCAATGTTAAAGCCCGAGTTACAAATCAAAATTAATTATTCGTTTCTCCGACTATACTGTATATTTTATTAAATTTACACACTAGACTTAAAAAAGCAAATGAATTATATTTTAATTACCCTTGTTATAATATTCAGGTGATCTATAACACACGCACGCACATTGAGTCAATCGGGGCATGCATAATTAGATTTTCAAATACAATATTTGTCTCACTTTCATTGTAACTCAGTGATCAACCAAAATGAGTTATATACAATGTATATGACTCATTTATTTCACAAATGGTGTTACTTTAAAAAGAAAAATCATATCGCGTTATTCCGTTATTCGTCAAAAACGAAAATACATCTACAGCTATTAAAGTCATAAAAAATGCACGTGGGCGAATCATTAAATGAAAAATCGCATTTTTTTGTTCAAAATCGTATTGTTAGTGTTTTTTTTTCTATCACGTACATTATTAACTAGCATTTAAGAAGTAAATTTTATTCATTTTTTTTTACTTCGTTATGGAAATAATACGCCTACCTATTTTTAAAATAAATAGATTTTGCATACTGCATATTCTAGGCACTTTTTAATTTGATCACAAAATAAAGATAAAAAAAAGTACATACATTAATTAAAGTCACTTGCAGACAACATTCTCTAAATATGCCGCTTATTAAAATTTCCAAATTAGTAAATTATCTTTTCTTTTACCTTTAAAAGTCTTGAAAGGCAGTCTCAGGACATTCCTCCCATCTTGTCCAATCAATCTTTCAATTTTTAATTTATAAAGCTATTGAAAAACAATATAAAAATATATGTAAAACTATTAAATCTTAACCATTTTTAAAGAACTAAAGAAAGGCTACGTATCTTAATAAAATCTTGAGATACGTATTGGCTTTTTTTAAAAAAAAATTTCAATTGCCCCGCGTATGCATAATACTATGGCATGCAATGCAAAGTATCTTGCCAATCGGGAATTTTGTGGCTTTTTTTATTTTTAAGGCTTCATTCAAGGATTAATTGTGTTTATACTAGGTAAGCATATCGTGCGACTTGCCCAGAGCGTTAAGTTTTTCTGAAAATTCTAGAATTTTGAGATTTACGTTATGTGTACAAGCAAAAAGATTAATAAAATTATTACAAAACTAAAACTTTATTTAAAAATTATTTTTACTAATTAATATACTATAAATTATATCTAATATTTTTAAAAAATGTTTATTATATAATTTTTTTAAACTTTTATTTTTTAAAAAAAATTTATTTGTATTTATTACTATATACTGTATATACAGTATATATTATATATATATATATATAGTATATTTTATATTTTATATTAAATTTTTTTAAAAATTTTGTATATAAAGTAAAAATTTTATAATAAAGTTAGTATTTAGGTTAAATTAAACTTGATCTTAAAAATTTTATTAAACCTTAATAGCAATAATTTAATATATAAATTTTTAAATTGAATTTAAGATAAAATTTATTTAAAATAGTGGCTCAACTTAGCTCAAGATTAGTCAGCTTATGAATAGCTTGGCTCTAACCTTTTGAACTAAAAAATTGGCTCAGCTTGATCAATATTAGTTATAAGCTAAACCAAGCTAAGCTGTTTGCATCATTAGTTGTATTAAATTAGCATAAATTCTTCTACAGTATCTAACTATCTAGAGATATACTATATATAAAAAGTTAGCACCCTCTTCAAGTAGCAGGTTTAGAGTTTGAATCTCACAGACAACAATATTTGAAAAATAGATCTGTGTTCAGTTGACAGCAGTAGGGCAAAAAGGGGAGTTCTGGCACACTTTTTCGGTACCCTGGGTACTAAAGTATTCATTTTGCTTTTTAGATC